CAATAAGTGAAGTTGTTTCTGCCCAAGTTGTTTATGTGTGGAACCAGATTATTTTTTTTTTGAGAAGATATAGGAAAGATATGATAGTTATATGCTAAAGATCCATTTCCACATGTCATGTAAGTGCTTTGAAAAGAAGCTTGTTTATTGCTAAACCAGCCAGTAAATATATCCCTGAACCTCGGTCTGGTAACATTTTCTATGGTCTCCACTATTTTATTCCTGGATTCAAACTTTTTGACTTAAATGCTATCTTAAAAATTTGCACTATTTTTACAAACAGATTACCTCATTACTAGGACATTAGTAAAACAAAAGTAGTAAAGAAATACAAACCATATCTAAGAAACCCTGTTGATTCCATGCAAGATGATTTAAAGGTTCCTAAGTAAAACAGTTCACTATTTAAGAGAAAAACAATCAAGCAATTCCAATGTACCACACCAATTGAGATATGCAGCTAAAAACTGATTAATGACAAGTAAGAATGTGTAATGTTCCCTACAAGAAACTAATGATGCACTTAAAAAAACGTTAGTTATCTAATAACAAGTAACTTTATCAGCATATGCAGAAAGAGTTTTGTTGTCCTATTCATGGTCTAAAATATCGATGATATCAGAAATGTCGGTAGTCCAAAAATATGGAAATTTCAATGGAAATATTGGGATATTATCGATCGATAAAAATTGAATAAAAACCACGGAAATTGTAAGAAAAACTTAGAAATTTTTATTGAAACTTTGGAGAATGTTTATTTAGTCAATTATCTATTAGTTTATAATAATAAAAAATTAGAAGGAAATGCATTACATGATAGATTTAACTGATTCAAGTTGATTATACAGTGAGCTGGCAAACACTGTGAGTGTAGAAAATATGTAATAATTAATGAAAAAAAGATTAAACACACCATAATCATTTATATATAATGATTTACTACAATATTTTACACTTTCTACATTGCATGGTAAGATACATGAGTGACTTAGTACCACATAGAGTTCTTATGAGGTTCAAATTTGTCACTATCTTTATCATCTCTATGTGTACAGTAAGTGTATTGTGAAGAGTATTCATCAAATGATAAATCCCCCAAATAGTTTTACATGTAATTGTTAACATGTCACCCATATAAATATAAATATTTTAGCATATTATCACTAAAACATAAGTGATATATGGTGGTCAAGGTGTTGGAGGAGTAAAATGGGAGGGGTTCAAATCCCCTTTTTTTTTTTTTTCCTTCCTTTTTTTCCTTTTTTTTTTCTTTTTTTTCCTTTTTTTTTTCCATTACATCGATATTTTTGATATTTTAGCGATATTACACTGATATTTTGACAAAAGATTGCTGAAGTGTGAGCGAAATTATCGACATCTATATTTTCCGATACTATCGTCGATATTGTCGATATTTATACGCTATGTACATGGATATGTTCCGAAATATTCGTGATTCGAAAAAACCGAAATATCCTCGATATTTCGTCGATATCATCGATATCATCGATATTTCAGACTATGGTCCTACCACAGAAGATTGCCCAGAAATATTCTCAACAGCGTAGGCAGTGGCTGATTGTTGGGAACAGCTACTGTACAATCATAAATTGCTGGAACAAATAAGTGCATCTGGCTTACTTCCAGGCTAAGAAAGTGTATATAATTATAACTAATAGCAACCAGGCTATGAAGTAGAAAAGTGAACAAATGAATTTACTTCCAGCAGAATTTAATAACACGTTGGGACAATTTCTAGTGTACAAGACAGCCTTCCAATATTGTGCCAAAAGCAAGATAATACATGTGAGTGATGGTTACGAACCTGGATATTCAGGGGGTTAAATCTATATACAACCTCAGCCATTTTAAGGTATCAATGTCAAACATTTGTCTTCAACAATAGCAAGATTCAACACATTAACAAGATTCAACAATAGCAATACAAACAAAGATAGAACTAATTCAGCAAAATTTGTATAAAATATCAACAGAACTATCACAAACCCTATATTCTTGACCGCCCTCAAAATTGGAGAGCGGTATCTTGCAGCCAGTACTGTATGGCACGACCTACAAAAAAGAAAAACAATTATGTCATCCCCCACCACTAATGACCAAAACCTGTTTAATTCAGAAATTCTCAATACCCAGTTGAAGAAAACACAATGCAACCAACCAACCAATCTTAAGGCCTTTATAAACAAGACCCTTTTGAAATAACTGAGAAAGCCTTTATAAACAGAGCTTGATCCTCTGTTTATTCCACTAACGACCTGAAAATCAAGAAAGATCATTGATTGATCGAGAAATCTGAACAAACCTCAAATCAAACAGTTAGCGATCAATAATACCAAAGCAGGCTTTGACCATGCGAACAATGCCTCTGATAATGCTAAAGACACACAATCTGCTGGCGTTCCTGATATTGATTATGCCCATAATCACATAATTAATATATAATTCCGGATTATATACATAAATGTATAGTGAAAGAGAGAGAGATTACTGGAGACTTCAAAAGCGGGGGCGCCTGATGTATCTCTGCAGCAACCAAAAATCACTACTACAAAAAAGGAAAAAGACGACGGGAATTCACCGTCGTGTATTCCGTTTTCAAATGGTCGTGAAATCGATTGACATCTTTTCCCTAATCAAACCACGACGCTAAATAACCGTCGTTGTTAGAACAAACAAAGTCATTAACAAATAAAAACCGACGTCTGTGTAATGGAAAAAGAGTTAAAAAAACAGTCAAGGATGAGAATAGACGACCAATTCTAACAAAAAAACGTCGTTAAAAAGGCAACATATGACATATATTAACAGAATATGGCCACAAGTGTGGGAGAAGATATTTTCGTCTCCAATCACAGCACGCCACGTGGAAAAGAAGATTATTTCTTTTAATTAATTAATTGAACCAGTTTATCTGGCCAATTAATTAATTAGGATAAATATCTTAATTAAATGATATTATCTTTATTTAATAAGATAATATCATGAATTAAGATATTATCCTAATAAGAGAAGATAATGTCATTATCTCAGATATTATCTTCATAAAAAGAGATAATATCATTTAATTCAGATATTATCTCCATAAAAAAAGATAATATCATTAAATCAGATATTATCTCAGTCCGACTCGATCCCTACGAATTTGGGTACAGAATAAACTCAACATATTCTCTAAGAAACCCTAGCCCCGAGGCTCCTATAAATAGATGACTTCATTCATCATTCAAGGTACATCTAAACCAACTCCTTATACCCGAGAAAAATACCCGAAGCTCTTTCTCTCTCTCCACTCTCCATATTTTCTCCACACGGCTCTGGCCACCACACACGGCTCCAGCCGCCCGGTTCACACCCTACATAAGCACTACTCCGTACCCTTTGCTTAGCTATTGTTTTTCTACAAACACTCGAACTAACTTAGGCATCGGAGGGCCTTTGGCCAACACCCCCCGGGTGTGGTCTATTTACTCCAATCTGTTTTACAGGAATCGAGGAAGAGAGAGAAGGAAGATCGAAGGTTGAAGGATCTAGAAGCGAATATTCTCCCGTGAGATTATTTGCACAAACATTTGGTGCTTTCATTGAGAGCACGAGTTATACTCAACGCGTGCTCAAGGAATTCGTTCCTCCTATTGTCCAATCCACCGAAGCCTTCCAAACAACCATAGTTGGAAGCAAGCGCACGAGGAGCACCACCGCAATGGCTAAATCCGCGACGACCCAAAGCCACTCCACCCACGATCCCGCGATCGACATGGTGGCACCACCACCTCTCACCACCGTGCCACCTACCAGACCCGCAGTCGGATCTAGCAACCTCCGTGGCACCGCCACCGAGTATGGTGGAACCTCCCATCAAGGTGGGCTCGTTACAACCACTGACTTAGGCCCGGTCTTGGAGCAACTTCAAGCATTCCCTCCATTGCCTCCACGCTCGATGCATGCTCCTCCATACACATCCAATGAAACCCTAGCCCATGTGCAATTGGGCTCTACACACTTCTCTCCTCCTGATCCACGAAGTCAAGCAGATCTTAATATGAGAGTTGACCAGCTAGCTCAGAGGATGGACAACCAAACCAATCTGATGAGGCAGCTCCTCCACCAAATAAACTTGGTTCAAAACCTTGACCTTGGACAACCGGGCGAAGAGAGAATGATGGATGAACGCACCTATCGGCAGCTCGATGGGGCCCAAGCCGGGCGGGC